CGAGTTCGTGTCCCATATAAGGCGAATTTTTTTTTTGTTTTTCCTATATCTGTTGATATTTTAGGTAATCATTCTATTGATGTATAAATTATAATTGTTGCACAAAATTTTTTTATTTATTTTTCTTTCCAAAATCTCACCTGAGATCTCAGATGAGAATTTGGCATTAGATCTCAGGTGAGATTTGTCAGAAGGGAAGGATGAAAGGTTGGCCTTGTACTGTTATACTATACAGTGTCCGCAGAGCTTTTAATTCGGGAGAACAGTGATCCTTGACTGATAGCTTAATAGGTATAAATACAAACTTTTTAAAACATTAGTCAATAACAATACTAAAAGATAGTAAGATACGGAAAAACTTAATAGTTTTTACAAAAATTCATTATTTTTAATTTAAAATAAAATAAAAATTAAATTATAGTCTTTGGTAACGTATTTTTATAATAAAAACATTTATGAGTTTTTTTTATTGTTATATGCAATTTTTTTACACCTTCGCACAACTTTTCTACATCCTCAATATAATGTCTATGTACATGTTCATAGCTCTTCTACATCCCTGATGTTGTGTCTTCTTTAATGTACACTGTTTTCTATTACGTATATTAAGTGTGTTTCAATCTTTACTTTACTGTTCTTTACCTTCAAGCGTTAGCACCACTTAAGTATGACTGTTTTAAAAAAAATCTTCTAATGACTACTACATAGTTGAATTCCTAAGAACATGACTTTTTCAAAAACTAAGTTCAGTTGATGCAACATGTAAACGAAATAATAGGCACCATGAGTGTCTTTGTAACGCGTTGTCTTGACACCTATATGGTATATTATTGTATTTATAAACAATTTTATAGATATTTAAACTAATGATTTTACTCCTTTTAAACTTACACTAAGTTGTATTTTGTTATTATTGTAGATTGTTAATCCTGAAGAGGTGGTTGGCAGGTAAGTGAAATATTGATTCAATGTTAATAAAATGTTGATAAACATTCATTCTCCAAAACAATAAGCTTATTTCTTAATACTTATTCTTATGTTGAAGCAGCAAGTAAAAGTAGTATATTGTTACATCATTATTATTCTCGTTATCTATACGGATGGCTTGGGGCACGAGGTACGAAACTGCTCATAGCGACATCAAAGGGACCGATGTTTAATTTTTTATGTTAAATGTGTGTGGTAAGGCTTTTGTTGGAAAAGAGTTTTACGTCGGTGTGACGTATTATTTAAGTCTAGGCTTGCGCTTAATAACTCGGAATTCGCACTCGGCACGTAGGTGGGACGCGGGATTAGAAGGTAGCTAATTTCCTTGACCAGGAGTTCAGAAGGAGGGAGCCCGACTGTTCTGATTGAATTGAAGCGGTTGTCAAGCAGTAGTGTGAGGCACTCGTTCGTGACGCGCTTCTGATTTGCCAAGAATACCTGGTACGACGTGTCAAAATAGTATTCCGTCCGCGATCTAGAGATTACCAATACCGTAACTAGGAAAGGTAGTTACGCTCTAGATGTTACGCAAAGAGCAAAATGGTTTAAACTCGCAACTGGTCTAGGAGCCACCAATACCTTTCCAAATAGAGGTGATTTCCTTAGAGTTTACGTGAAACATAACTTGAGAATTTATTCCCTTTGCCTAGAACTTATCAAATACCGTATTAAGTAAATGATGTTAACTCTAGGGGCACGTTTGCAACGGAAAGAGAGAAAAGAACAAAACAAAAGTAACCACTTGGTTGCTTTTGTGTAACTTACTTTTATTTTTAAACACTTTACTTTTACTTTTAACAAAATTTTACATGCGAAGAACCAGCGTGAGGTGTTTGATGTTGAAGGTTATAACCACACTTATGGAGGACCATATGGTAGCAGAGGTGGACTCTAACTACCCAGTTGACCGCCCGAGGGTAAAATTTAATCTGTATTTCGCTTCGCAGTAGACTAAGTTGTAGCAGAGGTGGACTCTTACTACTTGGTCTACCTTGAAGGGCTATCATTAAGTGCTTTTTCTCGGGTCCTCTGGGCCTTTTTATAAGGAGTAGAGAACCTCTGCGACGCGCTGGTTCAAGACGACGCAGGAAAATTTGCCGGAAAAATCTTGAAGGGGAAAGATAAGAGCCAAAGCTCTAATTGGCTAGTGATGCTCTAGTTTAGCCACTCTAAAATTGGCACATCCTACATCCGGTTCATTCTCTTCCATGAGTTAAGAGAAGGACAGGTGATTTATTTACTAGTGCTCTTCCTTTCTCTTTTACATCAAAATTTTACAAATTTTTTTATTTGATTTGATATAAATGTTAAGTTAGAATATCATTAATATTAACTAATGCTAGACACTGTTCGTTTATACAACTGAACTTGTTGCAGAAAGAACGCAGAGAATCGCTTAATATTTCTGGCATGTGTGTAGGTATGAAATAAAATGTATTTACTCGTAGAGTTAAGTAAATGTATTTTAACTGTTCTATAAAAAATTGGTGTCAGA